GAAAGGTTTAGGGATAATTAGCTGAAATTTTTGTATTTGTCTTGATGAAAGGAGAACTCATTTCTTTGTGTAACTTTATTTCTTCCCTTCTCTTGAAAAGTATAAACCAACACCGATGATTGTCATGAATGAATGAATGAATGAATGAATGAATGAATGAATGAATGAATGAATGAAATTATAAAACTTCTATGCTCTTGGTTGCTCACAACAGTTAAACAAACCAAAAAATACAATAAAATGCACCTGATTTAGGGCTTGAGAGTTGTGCAATCTTCTGAGTTTTACGCACTGTTTTGTGTCCTTTTTTTTCTTTTCTTTCAGTTGGTGTCTTTATTGCTGTCAAATCCTCTTCTGAAAGATATATTGAAGAACCATTAGTGCATCAAGCAAACTCCCATCAAAACTACAGGAGGATGTAACAGCAACTATTATTAACTCTCAAATCAGAACTCAAGGTATGAATTAAGTTACCAATTTTTCTTTAAATTTACAGGGCTTTGAAGTATTAATTACAGGCTTATGGGTTAAGTAGATTAAATATATAATATCACTGCTTTTAATGTAAATATTCACAAAATTACTTTGGCTATTTACCTGCCAACTGGAATTCAAAATCTTGACATAAATCTCTATTGAGGTTCAGAAATTCCTCTTCACACCATACCTTTCCATCAGGAGTACGAATCTTGGCTTCTGATGGATTGAAACCTAAAAGAACAGCACAATTAATTTTAGCCGGTTAAAATAGTCATGACATTCTATTTAGATTTCAAAACTTCTACTAATGGAAGTAGCTGAGAAGTTTCTATCTAAACACATTCAATATTAAGTCGGTTTGTAATTGATCCCAAGAAAGGAACAACTGAAATCTTAGCCTTTATTATACAACCCCTAGATTTTTTCTCCCACATATACATTTTATTTACAAATTATGTACCTTTATAGGAGGGAGCCATGGGTGCTGTTGCCACTTTTCTGATTTTAGGAGTCACTATATTTTCAGGAGCTGTAATAGTTATAGGATGATCAGAATGTTCAGGATTATATCCTCTGCCAATCAGTTCCTCTGAAAACTCCCATTGCTTTCTAATTTGTTCTTTTAGTTTTTCCAGTTTATCATCATGCTGATGCTGCTTTAAAATATCTAATCGATGGGCACTTGAGGTACTGGCAGAAGAAGCTGAAGATTCTACCAATGGAAATTCTTTTAGTTCATTTTGGATTATCGAACTTGAGGATGTTTTTGTATACTCATCTCCTCTGGATTCTTCACTTTTTTCTTCTAATTTTGTATGATTCACCACATCTGAATTTTGCAAAGCATTAATTGCTGGACGGTCATTCAAATAGCGAACAATAGTTTCATCTGTAGAAGATGACCGTTTCAAATCTCTGCCATGCAAATCTGATTCTCCTTTGTCATAGATCATGCCACTTCTTTCAGCTTTATTCCCTGTTTCTTTATACTTCAGACGTCTGGCCTCCAATTGGCAAGAGGTTTTATAAGATGGTGACCACCGAGAATCTCTAACGGAAGCACATTAAACATTAAAATAAAAACAGGAACTCTAATAAGCCAATGCTTGTCATAAAACAAAAACAACTTTGAACTTGAGAGAAAGAGTTAAGTAATTATAAAATCTTTTTCCTCCTGTCATTGAGAATGTCCTATCATCCAAGCCTTTTCATTTGGAAGCCATAGTTCTAAGCAAGATAATTCCTGTTCCTTCTTCATTTCCAAGAATTCACAAACACAGAACATGGATTGGCATTTTCACTACCAGATATCCAACGCATCTTGGCTATAAAAAGCCAAATCAAAAAGTCCCCCTTTCTATGTCCACAGCATGAAACAGCATAGGAACTTTCTTAATATTCATGATATTATTGTAGACCTACTAAGCACATCTCTTTTCGCAAATAATGAGCTAAAACAAGAATGCTCCCTCTCTTTGCAGATAAGAACATAGAGGGAATGTGCTATATGGTATTTGCTCCCACCAAACCAGAGGTGAAGGTAAAGCACTCTAGTCTTTGCTATAGAAAGGCAGAGAATATAATATAGGGGGAGAAATCTAATTTCATGAATTGTACTCTTCTCCAGGATAAAATAGCATCGAAGGTTCAAGTAGGATAATTTCTTCACTTAGCATATTTTTCCTCTCCCAAGATCCATTAATGCCCTTCCCTCACTCTTAGAATAGTGGTGTTTTTAGAATGCAGCTAGCATTTTGATAACTTGTTAAAAATGTCTTCTAAATTGCAAGCAATAGCATAAGCAAGAGCTCTATTTCATGAAACCTTTTTAAAGCGAAACAGTAATCATATCAACAAGTTCTTCAAAAACAGCAAATAAGTATGCTTACACTTTTATTTCTATAACCCCTGCAATAGTAAAATGACAAAAGTAATCAAACTCACCTGAAGGAAGACAGGGGCTGATGAAGTTCGACATGTCCATTCTTACTCACATTGCTATCCAAAGTGGTAGCACGAAGAGGCCTGCGGGAGGAACTTTCCTTGTTTTGACTGGAAGACCTGCAACCTGAAACAAAAATCAATACGTCTTTCATGCATCTCTAGGGATTTTCAATAGTAAGTCAAGAACAGTGGTAAGACATTGTATTAACATTAGATAATCTTTCAATATAATTTCAGGTTTGTAAGTACCCACTGAAAAATAATTGATAAAAGAGCTGCATTAATTATGCACACATACACATTTGAACTTTTCGTGATATTACCAACCAGACAGTTACACAATAAAGAATAATTTATTAAGCTGGATAGGTTGTGACTATTAAAAGTTAGTGGTAAAAGTTAGTGGTAGGGGAACACTGTCACCAGTGTGCAAAACACTGATTTCAAATTTAGCAGTGTCTGGAACTGCTAAAGAGAGATAATTAAATTTGAAATGCTGTTCTATGCTTTACTTGACATTTGTGCAGTGTTTTGGACACTATTCAGTTTCAAATGTTTTACACTTCCATACTCTCTCTCATAGCAATGAGACACTATAATCCGAAGTACAGGCAGTCCTTTCTTACTTACCACTTAGTTAGCAACTATTCAAAGTTCTGATGTTTCTGAAAAAATAACTTCACTACTGATTTACAACCATTTACGTCAGTCATGTGAACACCATTGCCATCAGTACAGGTTGTCCTACGACTACGGGTGACCTGTGTTTTCCCCCTTTTCCCCCCTTCTACAGCGATTGGAGAGGAAGGGATCGCAAGAGATATGTTTGCCCTTCTACATTATCAAAAGCAATGCAATCATGACAGGTACTCAGGACTGCAGCAACCTTTCCAGCTTTGCATACCGCCGGCAGTGGCGAGGAGGGGGAGAAGAGATGGTTCTGTGCAAGCAGCGGTCAAGCACTCATCCACATAGCTCCATTTGCATAACTACTCTCTAATCCACGGGTGTCAAAGTCAAGGCACATGGACCAGATCTGGACACTATTCAGTGGTTAGATCTGGCCCTGGACACAGAGAAGGACTAGCCCGTGCTGCCTCTACCCGGCCCAGGCGCTCTGCTACAACCTGGTGGCAGCCATCTGGGCCGGGATGCAGTCAGCCTTAGATTGACGGGGCTGCCTTGGAGCCAGTGGTGCCCCCACCCCCCACCCCCTAGGCCCGCAGAAAGGAGGCAACGAGCAAGTGCGGCATCCCCGGGGACAGTCTTCTCCCACAGGGTGACCTTGCTCCTCCCTTTCACACAGGACGCCAGCCCATGCATGCTGCTTCCTATAGGGGGAGAAGCTGAGGCAGCTGAGAAGTCCTTCATTGGCTCCAGGGTGGCCCGCAGGTCAGATCTAAGGCCAGGTTCAGGAACCAATGCCGTCTATGGCCTGGGTGCGCTGCTCGTTTGCAGGCCTTAGGAAGCACTGCAGAGCCAGGGCCCACACAGCTGTGTCCAGCCGGCTAGAGTTTATTGCTGCCTCCGCGAGCCCCATTTTCCCTGTTTGCTGCAAGGAGGTAAATTGCTGGGAGGCAGAGGCCAAAGGGTGGTAGGTGGTTTGTGGGCACAAATTTTCATCCTCTTTTAGGGGGGGAAAAGTGCATCTTATACTCCGAAAAATATGGAAAGATACCCCACCAGCCATCACATAGAAATTCTACTTCCCAAACAAAATTTTCAAAATGTGCTGGTTGCATAGCAAAAATGCTACTGCAAGCAACTGAAAGCTCATTTTTGGCAAGGCCTTAATACATACCTTTCCTGCTTATTTTCCTGGTAGTACTAATTGATGGCTTTTTTTCCATGACAGTATCCAATCCGGCTGTGCTAATAAGATCTGCTTCCAATTTGTTCTCAATATGCTGCAACTAGATAAATTGAAGGGGATAGAAAAGGCACCAACATTTAAAATCTGTTATACCACCACTTTAAAAACCCAAAAAGTTAAAAAAAAAAGTTTACAAAAATTGGATGAAACATTCTATAACCTAAGTAAAATTAACTCAGATTTAATTTCAACTTTGTACAATCAAAAATAGTTTCACATTAATGCAAAAATTTTCATTGCAATTGTAATATTCAATTTTCATTGTATATTACATTTTTCAATCCTGAAAAAAGAATGAATAAAAAAACAGAATGATAAATAAAAATTTGATGTATGAGGCCAAATACATCAAATTCATTGTATTGGAAAACTTCCAAACAAATTCCTTAATAGTAGTTTTTTTGTAAAAGCAAACTGCATATTAGGAATTGAGAAGAGTTGCCTTAGCAGATCAGTTGCATTTTCAGATAAATAAAATTAAAATCTGGATGACTGACAGAAACAAGGAAACAAGAAAAAGGTAAAACCTCACCAACTGTTTAGACAAGAAGAAAGTGTCTGTTGGAATTAAGACAGGAGCTTCCTGATTTTGGGAATCCTAGGATTGTAAGAAACAGCTCAATGTCCAGATAGGACAAACTAAGGGGTGGCTGATTCCTATATGCATTTTAGGAGAATAGTGGTTGTATTTTACTGAAACAGTATCTTAATCTTTTACTGTCCTCTAACATATACAAGATAAACATAAGTTATTAATTTTCATTTTTAAATAACAATGTCCTGTATGTTTTATTTTCAATTTCATTTAACTCAGTGCTAAAATACTACTTACTGTTGCCTTTGCTTGTGAAACAGAATTCCATGCTGTTGTTAAATCTGTACAAAAAATTGAAAACATTCTCTCAAGGTTCAGTAAGTTTTAAATACTGTCTAAAACAGCTTGTTTCACGTGGTTTATTAAAACTAAGATGCATATGTTTCAGAAGCATTGATTCAGATAGAAAACAAAATATGATTGTTCCAAGCAAAAAGTATTTTTGTGATGAAGGATAAGAAAATTCCAAGGTCCAGTAGGAAAAAGTAGATGGACAACCCCTTCCTATGACAATGGTGATATTAGGCAGGGTCTGCTTGTTGCCTGTGTGGCTTACAAAACACTCTTTCTTGTTTTGTTTTGCAAACATTGACAGCAGAAGTGGCTGAGTGGAGCTAGGGAAGTTAAAAAATGAAAAGCATTGAGAAGCATTGGGAATCAATGGGCAAGATGACAAAATGCAGGCTTACCTCATTTTATTATTTATTGCACTTCCTAAATACCTTATTGCACTTCATAAATATTTTGGTTTTTTACAAGACCATCCACCAGCAAAAAATTACAACCCACTGCGGAATCAGATAATGATTAACATTTTTTTAGCATTAAGGTGTCTTTTAATTAAGGTATAATATTTTTAGACATAATGTTATTGCAGACTTCATAGAGCATAATACAGTGTAAATGTAACTTAAATATTCACTGGGAAACCAAAACATTCACATTGCTCACTTTATTGAGATATTTGCTTTACTGCAGTGGTCTTGAACTAAATCCTCAGTATCTCTAAGGCAGTGTTTCTCAACCTTGGAGACTTGAAGTCCTGTGGACTTCAACTCCCAGAATCCCCCAGCCAGCACAGCTTCAAGTCTCCAAGGTTGAGAAACACTGCTCTAAGGTATGCCTATTACCATGCTGGCAACTTCTTGTAAGGAATATATACAGCAACCAAGCAGGGGAAATTAGAGCATTATTAGTGTTAATTTGTTTCTGAAGGAGATGGAAAAAGCAACGAAAACAAGTTTTTCCCTACTTCCCCTTTAAAATCTACTTATTTATTTATATTCCACTTTTATTATTTTTATCAATAATTTCAGCTGACAAACACACACAATACTCTTGTGAGGTTGATTGGGTGAGGAGAGAGTAAGAGGCCCAAAGTCACCCAGTGACTTTCATGGCTAAGATGGGACTTGAACTCAGGGCCTCTTTGTTTCTAGTTTGGTTTTATTTATTTATTTAGTGTATGGCATATCATGCATAAATTATCTATCTATCTATCTATCTATCTATCTATCTATCTATCTATCTATCTATCATCTATCTATCTATCTTAATATTTCACCTAGATTAAGTAAAACACAATAAAATATAAATGTTAAAAAGATTTGTGTTCAAAAACAATGTCTAGGCCATCCAACCATTGAAGCACAACATTGTTTACACTAAACAAAAATATCAGATACTGGACAGGTATATGTCCTTAGTTTACAGCTGGTCACGATGTAATCTATAATTTGACATGGGACTTCTGCAGTCACACTGAAGGGAGGATACTATGCCTCATCTATACAGAGTCCAGAGTCCAGGCAGATGTTGTGTCAGGTGTGAATCCTATTCAGGATTGTCCTTTGCTGACGGGGCAATTCAAAGCCTCTCACCCTTTTGTGGTGTCATCTGTCTATCTTCCTATGTCTGCGTGTTCAGCAAACCATTTGGCTTTCCATTGGGAATCGATGTTAAAATTGTTGGGGAGATGTTGCGCAAGTGCCAATGGGGTTTACCTGGATTTGAGTCTTCCGGCTGCTAAATGAGGAAGGTCAGCGTACACTGGTAGGATTTGTTCATATGTTTTCTCACTAGGGCCTCTTGCTTTCATAAAGGTGATGGTGCTTTATGGCTCAGAACGGGAAGCCAGCAAGTCAGAGTGGTTTTAATACATCTGCTTATAATCCTCACGGCATTTAACTTACCAGTATGGCAGCTGTTAAACCATACAGGGGCACAGTATTCTGCTGCTCAGGGTGGCAACTGAAGCTCCCCATTTAGTTTCACATCATTTTTGGAGTATGTTGATCCTAATACTTATTTTTGCCACCATATTCTCTAGGTGTACTTTATAGAAATGAGTCCGGTCCAATTTTACTCCAAGGTACTTTGGATGGGAATTATAGGGGAGTAGGTTCTTGTTTAAATATATCCTGGGGCTTCATGTGCTAGTTTGTTAAGGTAGAAGCACACACATATTTACCATTTTGCTGGTGCTATGAGTGAGCCTCCAGTCATAATTTCCCCAAGATTTTAAGATCTTTGGATGCTGGCATGTTGGATGCTGGCAGCCAGACTACTCTGGTGCCTTAACACTAGACCAAACTGGCTTTTGTTTCAGTCAAAACCCAGAACCACTGAAATGTTTCAAGTTTTGTTTCTATCAAATCATGACAAAAAGGATTCAACAGAACTTCTTAAATTCAATACTTTGTTTCAGGTTCAAAACAAGACCCGTTTTCTGTTTCAGAGTCTTAACCCATAAAATGTCAGCCATGCTTTCTGAGTTATTACAATTTGTAAACCTAATCTATAGAGTCAGCCACCTTCAATCAGCAGATTTTTACATGGAAGCTATCAGATGATGCAGAACTTTGAAATTACCCGGGGCAAACTGCACTGTATGATGCCTAGTGTATAAGAGCATTAAAATAATATTTGATTAGGTAACATGTTAGCAATATGTCAACCTTAAAATTGTGAAAGCATTGGCTTAGAAAACAGTAAAAATACTCATATTTGTGTATTTTTAAAAAGTTTCTGTAGACAATTATTTTACAATTCTGACCTTTTTTTTTTCAAATATGCATCTTCCATTAAGTTATGTTGACTACTTGTAGCAATTTTAATTTTAATTGCAAATTTAGCACCCCTTAATTTAGCCTTTAACAAGTATGGTGTGGTTAAGAGGCTGAATTAGGAACTAGGAGCAGAGACCCAGGTTCTAGTCTCCTTTTCAGTATGGAAGTCATTTGGGTGAACTTGAATCTTAAAACTAGGAAATCTTAAACCAAAATCTGACAACAGTGGTCCAGTGCAGGCTGGTAGGTATTTATCTACTAGCCTGCACTGGACCATTGTTCTCAGATTTTTGTCTATAAATAACTGTCATTGAAGAGGCCTTCATCCTCCAGTGATTCAGGTTGATTATTATTTTTTACTATTTAGCTTTCACTAACAAATTTGCAAATAGAAACCAAAGTGTTTGCTAGTACAAGTTAAGGAATAAGAAAAGCAGACCTTATTATCTGATCATTCTTGCCAACAGATATCGTTTCAGTTTAACATAAATCTCTGTTCTGTTCTGTTAAAATTTAGAAAGTCAGGTAAAATTCTTTGCACCAAGTGAGATAAAAATTAAATTAATTCGTACCTCTGATGGAATTCCTGTTTTGAGAGAACTTGGGATTGTGTAAAGGAAATTCACTTGCTTTTTTGCTACACATTCTGTTGCTTCACCTACAATATAAAGATAAATGCTCTCTGAAATGTGGAACAGAAATACATACACATATCTTGTAAGTTATCAATACTATTTTGAATTTTATTAGCACAGAAAGCTAAACCTGAACCTGATAAAATATTTTACTTCAAGTCAAATTCAACAGATTCACTATGTACAATTTTCAATTGTACTAACCCAATTATATTTATTGTTCACTTTTTACCCTGCATCCAAAATTATGTTGCTTACATGAAGGCTCACTTATAATAATTCTGCCATTAACCAACCTTTTAAAAACAATTCAATTATATTTTAAAAATGTTACAGTAAGCATTTTTAAACTTCTTTAAACATTAAGACATATTATAAACTGATAAATAAAAATTATAATATACAAAATTATATACTTTAGAAGAAAAATACTACCTTCGTATATAATGAACCATTTGTTTAAAAGAGGGTGGGATAAGTCACTTTAACATCACTTTTTTCAGTGTCATTGTAACTTCGAACAGTCACTAAATGAATGTTTTTAAGTTCAGGATGAAAGTGTGTCCATCTGAGCTTTAGATACACGATCAGCCACAAACTAGGGCAGAATTGCAGAGTGGACATTCAGCAGACTTTTGTGCCTTTTACAAGTGCTGCTCCAATTACTGATTGTATGAAAAACTGGGCTCTAAGAAACAAATGGGACTGTTTAAGGTAATCTGGTCTCTCTTCTCAATGAAATAATAAGACAGATTAATTTTACAATTGACGTTTTGAAAGAGAGAGTGGAACACAAACTTCAAGAGCTGAAATCACTTCTTCCAACAGATGTATTGGAGGAGGTCACAGAATTTACAAAAAAGGCACAACTAGAACAACATAACAAGGGCAAAGAAAGCCAGAAAGGCAAATTTTCTACCCTGCGGAAGCACACGAAACAGAAGAATCAATCCGGGTGAGAGAGGACAGTGACATATCTTAGAGAACTGACCAACGGGTGAGAAATCTGACAGAGAGCTCACTCAAAACAGGGAAGGAAAATCTATATATACTGGGATTCCCAGTGTGGAACTGCCAGCAGACCTAGCCCACATAAAACTTGACTCTTTCATAAGTTACTGTGAAACCTGAACTCACAGCCTCCAGTTCATGTAGCAATCGTCCTTTTAAGCTGTACTGTTTTACTAACCCTAGCCCACTAAGTCTTCAGAATCAGACTTCAAAACAATGGGCTGTATCGCATTTTCAGAACAGTGTAAACTAAAATGCTATATAACATGCTTTTAGGCTAGACTGTATTCTGAAGCTTCTGACTAAACTGATCTGATTTGTGAAGCCTAGAAGATCTGGTTCTAGTTTGGATAGTAGAATCCCAGGTCTGCAAAATATATTGTAAAGTTTTTTTGTTTGTTTTTTAAGCATCTTGGAAGATGACAATGGCAAAAGAGTTCATTCTGTTACCAAAACATTTCATGGATATATTAAGTCATCTGGAATATCACTCACTGAGGATTTTTGTAAGTTTTGCCTGGAAACAATAAAATTCTTTGCATAATCTCTGTCTCAGGAGGCAAAGGAGATTTCTGCACTCAAGAATCAGCAGGAGTTCGGTAGCACCTTTTCCAACTAGCAAATGTTATTTCAAGGTATAAGCCTTCATAGTTGCAGCTCACTTCATCTGATGTATAGCATGGCTGTGATGGCAAATATCTGACACATGTGTCAAAGGTGACACCATGTTTTGAATGAGTGCTGAATGTCACTTTTCAGGGTAGCCTAGATGGAAGGAGACAGAGAATTGTGTGTGTGTGTGTTTGTGTGTGTGTTTGTGTGTGTGTGTGTGTGTGTGTGTCTGACATCATACTAGCAGACCGAAGTTAGGCATCTTCTAAATTTGTGATACGCTGAGCCTAAAAGGGTCACCATAGATTTATATATGATTTAGACTGAGGTGGGGAAGTGGAAAAGTAGAGCGAAAGAAGAGGAAGATACCGTATTTTTCAGATTATAAGAGGCACTAGAGTATAAGACGCACCAAGATTTTGAAGACGTAAACAAGAAACAAAACGTTTTTGCCCACCCCAGCCCCCAGGAGCTCTCTGGTAGGCCTCCCAAACCTTCTGTGTGTCCTGCTTTTCATAAAAACAGAGTACGCAGAGGGTTTGGGAGGGGTGCAGAGTACTCCTAGGGTCTGGGGAGGGCAAATCCACGAAACATGGGGGGCTTGGGAGGCAAGAAATGGGTGCATTTTTTACAAAACTGGCCTGTGCAGAGGGTTTGAGAGGTCTGCAAAGTGCTCTTGGGAGCTGGGGAGAGCAAAACTGGCACTCCTGGGGGGTTTGGGAGGCCAAAAATGGAGTGCACAGAGGTTTGGGGAAACCTGCAGTGCTCCTGAGGGTTCGGGAGGGCAAAAACACCAGTTTTGTGAAAAACAGGCCCATTTTAGCAAAAACAGGCATTTTTTTTTCACTTCCCCAATCCCACCCCCAATGCATTTTTGCCCTCCCAGACCCTAGGAGCACTCTGCATGCCGCCCAAACCTTCTGCGCACCGTTTTTTGCCAAAAGCAGGATGCGTGGGGTGGGGTTTCTGGAGACCAAAAATGGCTGTATTCAGTGAGCACCAACATTTCCAGCCTCCTTCGGGGGGGGGAGTGTGTCTTATACTCCAAAAAGTACAGTAATTTGCAGGAGGTCAATTTGATTTAAATCGAGTTGATTTGAATTGCGATTTAAATCATGATTTAAATCACTAGTAAAAAGGCTTAATTTAAATCAACTCGATTTAAATCAGAATTTTTAAAGGTCAACTGTCATCTCTGTCCCGCAGTGGCTCCTTCTCTGACCCACTGCTGACTCACCGACAGTTCCATTCACTTTAATGGGATGGCTGGTGAAGCGGCAGTGGAAACCCATTAACAGGCACTGCCATGATGGATCTGAAATGACAGGTGCTCTTTAAAATTATATTTATAAGCTACCTAAAGGGCTTAGAGGGTTTCACTTTCATTTTTACTGCTTGCCCTTTCTCCTCACACTTAGAGCATGGTGGTACAGATGCATTTCTCTTCAAACAATCATACAGTTTGTAGTGTACTTACATTATACATACATTGATTTGCAAAACAATGGGATAAAACAGTATTCCTGAACTTTGTTTTATGATTTATCTCATGGTTACTATGAAATTGTGTGAATGCATCAATGCAGTGCGTGTTATCTCAGCTTGCAGAACTTGGATTCGTGGAATGAGTTTACCAAAAATGTAAATATTGCAGAATATACAGCCTCATGCTACATAACTAAGCTCCCTTTTCATGCTAAATAAATTAAATTATTAATGTATCTTAAGTAGAAAACTATCTTTAGTTAGATTTTTACTCCAAAAGCATTTTATTAAAATAAATTTTATAAAAATAAAAAAAATCTGATTTAAAATTTAAAAATTATNTCCCTTTATTTGTATGCCGCCCTTTTCCCTGGGGGGACTCAGGGCGGCTCACAGTTCAAAAAGGGGGGGGGGAGGACAAACAATTTTCCAACATGTTCTCCCAGAGTTCCTTCTTCATTGCTTTTTACTGAACTAATGTTATCAACTTCCAGGGAAGTAGCAGTGGACTGAATAAGGCTCCACAGAGAGCAGAGCTGATGACCATAGCAGAAAGAGGAGCCAATAAATGGATCAGCTCCTCAAACTCCGAAACAAGGAGAGGACCAGGATTACTCACAAGTGCCCCTTAGAGAGGGTCCCCTTGAGGAGACTATATAACAGCAATGTCAGAGTTCTGGGAGCCAAGAAAAACTCATCTCGCCAAACTTTGGTTGCGAATAGTTTGGAATGGACATTCAGTTTGCCCATTTTCTCTCTTAATCATTTTTGGAAATGGCTTGTTTAATTGCTTTTTACATATGCGAACCTTAAGAAGGGCAAGTTTGATTATAGTGGATAATTTCCATTCAATTGTCAGTGAAAGAAGTTTCATGTATGTTTAAGAACTTAAAGCAAAATTATTGTTCAGAAATAAACAGAAAAAGGGTGATGAGAAAGTTGATTCTGGAAAATTACAAATGGAGTAATGGGCCAGATTGACAGGAAATAAGATTTTGAAACTAAAAATCCTTCCTGTGATTTTTAAAAAAATCCTATTGAAATACACAAAGCTTATGAATCTAAGCGTAAGAAAAATAAAAACTTAAAAGCTGCGTAGAGACAACTGGAAAGAACTAAAAATTATTTAAAGAAGAGGCCTCTAATACAAAATGGGGGGAAAAAGTATTTTAACTCTGGAAAAATACATAGCAACAATGTCAGGACTACCTGTATTGTTCTTTCTGGTAGATTTTAATGGACTTTTGCTGATTCAGACCGAATGACGAGGCTTTATTAGCAAATAACAGATAAAAGATGAGATATGGGATTTTTGATTGAAATTGTTTACAAACCTTTTTTGAAAGGTTTAGGGATAATTAGCTGAAATTTTTGTATTTGTCTTGATGAAAGGAGAACTCATTTCTTTGTGTAACTTTATTTCTTCCCTTCTCTTGAAAAGTATAAACCAACACCGATGATTGTCATGAATGAATGAATGAATGAATGAATGAATGAATGAATGAATGAATGAATGAATGAAT